AGTAGCCTCATCCAGTGAAGTGAAAAAGATGGCTAGAGTATCTTGACTTGTTATGTGTCACTTTCTTTATGCATTAAATTTCATCTGATTTCAAAAGGGAGGAAAGAGACAATCGCTTTTCCTCATCTGGGAGGAAAACAGAGCCGAATCAACCTTCCAGTAATAAGAATGTTTGATTGTTATCATCACAATAATTGCTAATTAATTTGGCGTTAATTGTTTTAGCTATATTATCTTTATGTGCAATAGATTAATTATTTTATCCTCGTTAACAGCGCTGAGCGAGTTGGGTCGTTTCAGTAAGCAATTGCTCGTGACAAGATAGAAAGGGCAAAGTAAGCTGTATTCGGAGTTGTAGAAAGTGCTGTTGCAGAATGTTTTAAGTTATCTTTATTTCACTACTGATGCAGGACTATCTCTGCTATTTCACCCGAATAAGGATCTGTTATTGGGAGAATTGGAAGGACATTTTTCTCTGCTAAAATTTGGATTTTCCATTTTAGAGCTCAGGCATTTCACATTTATCTACGATTTATAAACCAAATTGAACATCTGTGTTTACCAGCTCCACGTCCAGCCTGTCATACTGGAAATAAGTCATCATTACCATTTTTTTTTCTTGTCCTCTACAGAGCCCCATTTCCTCCATGCCATTGAGTATGGGAACTACGTGTACTTCTTCTTCAGCGAGATCGCAGTGGAGTACACCACTCTTGGAAAGGTGAGGTACTCATTTCAGAGCAGACACTCCACAAATTTGTGTTGTGTGTTGTTTAAGCTTGTTGTAGTTTCCGCTCGAAGTCAACATGCAGAGCACATTCCCGACTGCTGCTCAGTATTCTGTGTCGGCTGCGTCTGAGTGTGATGATTATAAATGATTTCCACTCCTGTCCCCTCAGGTGGTTTTCTCAAGGGTTGCACGTGTTTGTAAGAACGACAATGGGGGCTCCCCGAGGGTGCTGGAACGTTACTGGACATCATTTCTTAAAGCTCGGCTGAACTGTTCTGTTCCTGGTGATTCCTTTTTCTACTTTGATGTTCTCCAGTCTCTCACCAATGTACTGCAGATTAACCACCGGCCGACTGTGCTCGGAGTCTTCACCACACAGGCAAATAGGTTGGCATTTTTTCATGTTTTTTTTTTCAAGGTAAAGATGAAATTGAAATGTTCGTGTTACAGTTAGTTAGTAGTTAGTGTGATAATGTCTCTCAAGTCATGTTTGTTTAATCCTCTTTTATGTGATCTGCAAATTTGACCTGTTAACAATGAAATGTTACAGAATTCGATAAACAAAAACATCTTCGCAAAAGTTAATCCAGAAAATGTTTGTTTTCTTCGATGTAACTTACTTGTAAGGTACTACATGAGTGGCATCTCAAATGCTATCACTAGTAATCTTTTTTTCACTTAACGTCGCTGAGCCAAACTAGCAATTTACACTATTCTGATGCACTTTTTGGCTTTCAGTGAATGTCATTGACAAACAGGAAGCAGTTCCTATTAGGGCTGGGCCATATCATACCGTTCACTGTAACACCGGTATAATGTTGGGCAACGATAAGAAAATGAAATATGGCGATAGAATATGGGTAAAACGCGCATGCGCAGTGCCTTTCTTTTCATACGCACACGGCGGAAAAAGCATCGCAGCATCGGAGAATGAGAAGGCGAAAGTGGATCATTGAATGAAACGGATGAACCAGAACTGGTTTGTGAAAATGCTGCAACTTCAGTGGTGTGGAACTGGTTTCGTTTTCGTCCGTCAGATACACAACAAAGCACTATTTTTGGTAGAGCATGCTAGCGGGCC